GGCAAGCCAGGACGGCACAGGGGACTTGTCGAGGCAGCAGAGGAGTCTACTTCTCTCTGATCAGTTCCACCCGTGAAGGGGAAGCCGCATCTCCCCCTCCCTATTAGCTGTCCTTGTGGGCTATTCCTCCGAGGGGGGGGGGGGGCTGATGATTCTAGCACTCAGCTGCCCCCTCATGGTTCCTTCACTGCCATGGAAAGTGGTGTTCTGTCTCCATGAAGTTTTCAAGTACTCTAAATACCAGCTTCGGATGGATTTATACAATGTTTGGGGGACGGACACAGTAGAAAAGAATGACAGTGGGTATATTTCAAAATGCCTTGTCTAAGTTTATCTCTGGAGAAGGAGATACAAAGGGGGATTTGTAGTGAAAGATTTGTATTTATTCATGTTAGCAAACTATGGATAAGCTTAAAATGGGAATAATTTGGGTAAAACTGTGAGCTGGATTTGGGGCCTGTTGACATGTGTTTTTGAGGACAAAGGAAGATGGGGGAAGGTGAGAGCATGTCTTGATTTGCATTCAACTTATCTAGCTACAGTGGTTGGGGAAACCTAAGGTCGGAGGTGTCTGTGATATTTGGGCTGCCAATCAATGAGCTCCAAATGGGAGGATCTGATAACTCCTCCCATTGTCAAAGAGTATAAACACAGACACACACGCGGTGTTCAGCCTCTTTCCTCTGGCTGGCTCACGTGCAGGTAAATTCGGGATCCCAAAGATTAACTGTATTGAATTTGTACTGTATTGATTGTATTGTATTGTCATATTACCATTAAAGTAGATTAACGGTTACTTGGTAGCGTCTGGATTCCTTCCTGTATTATAACCAGCTTGATAGGGACGCGCGGAGATTTGAAAAGCGGACTAGATATCCCTTTAAATCTCTAACAACTCCACCAGAGGAATTTCCTCCTCCACGGCGTTGCACGGAGGAATGTCAGTGGAAGATATTTGCACTACTGCATCTTGGTCTTCCCCCTGTTCATTTATTCATTTTTATTTGAGAGATGTCTCCCATTCCTCTCTGACAAACCCTGTACTGGGTGTCCTGTCGGAGTGAGTGAAGTCAGGGAGCCAGCTGGGCGCTCTCCTACCTGTCTGACACGCAGAGAGCTGCTGTCCCCCCTCTATGATCGCTGGGCAAGGTGTGACCTTCGTCTCTACTTTCTCAAAGTGGCCGGTATGTATTGTTCCCAGCCTTCACCCCGTCGGGAAGATAGGCATGTTTTGCTATGTTCCAGGGACGGTGATGCGCCATTACGCATGACACAACAGGCAGGGGGGTGTTATTGAGCAGGTGTGTCTTGGCTTCTAGTGCCGGGCGGACCCAGTGGGGCGCAGACTACATCATGCTTCGCCCTTAACCCAATAGCAATAGCCTTAGAGGGCGAAGCCATATACGAAATAGAACTGAGGTTACCTACTGTAACCCCAGCTTCTATGAGTAAATGGCGCAGCCCTCTAAGTGCTGGGCCCCACGAATAGCTGAAGAAAAGTTATTTTGTATGGGAGCAGATTGCGGGGCCTCCGTCCTATTTATACCGGAAGGAAGCCCGAGGGTGGGGCCCACCTTGCGGGTGGGCGTGGACTACAAGTTTTCAGTGCTGTGCGGGGGTGCAGGGGGATTACCCAATAGCGATAGCCTTAGAGGGCTGCGCCATTTACTCATAGAAGCTGGGGTTACAGTAGGTAACCTCAGTGTTTGTGCCAGAAAGCAACCACAACAACTTATCTCAAGTACAACAATAATTCTGATGAAATAATACTCCATCAGTACGTGTGTGTTTTTATTTCATGGAGGAAAAATATTTTCTTTTGCAATGAATAGCAAAACACTTTTTCCTTAAAGAGCTTGTGACAGCATCCCAACAACTGTTGTGCAATGAAATATTGGGCTACTAGTAATCTCGAACCGTCAGTTCAAAAAAGAAAAAGCGATACCGTTCCGTTAAATATCAATAATTTCGAACATCGCGGGAAATTCCTTCAACTCATTTTGAAGTTTTGGGGGAAGCCGGAAGTGACCTCAATGCGGGAACGCTTCACTGTGCGGCGAGAGAGCCAAACACGGACAAAGTGTGTTGTCATGCGTAGAAATGGTGAATTACTGAGTTTAGTCACGTTAATAACGTTTTAATGAAGTTGACTACAGTATATTCATATTTGTCAGTGCTTTCATGTCAATTCGGCTTACATAAACATAAATGATCGTGGTGAAGATGATGATTACATTAGGATTACAAATCGGTAGTGAGAGCTACTGAATTTCCTCCCGTAGGATGTGATATAAAAACAAATCGATTATTTTTGTAGTTGTAAACTCAAGTGGATGAAACTACATGTATTAGTGCTTTCATGTCAATTCGGCGAACATATGATACATTAAATGATCGTGAGAATGATGATTAAAAATCGTTTGTTTGTGCCGGTCTGCATTTCCTGATGAGAAAACAAACCGATGCTTTTTGTAACATGGATTAAACGTGTGGTTTTTTTCACCACAATGTTTGGGAAATTAATGGATAAAATGCACGGATTATTATTATTATTATTATTCCCACTCCGATCGGGACACCAGGTCCACCGTTTCCCCGCAGCGAGGCTCCCCCGTTGACAGTTTACGAGGACTGGCCATCGGGACGAATCCCGATGGGCCGGTACCGAAGTGGGCCGGTCGGATAAGTCACTAGCACATCCCCCATAGGCGGCGCGTGAGGCTCAGGTTTGGGAAGGCTACATAACTTTTTTACCTGACGCTGCCGCCTCCGGCGTCTATAGAAAAGAGATCAACTCAGTGTGCGGAGTTTAGATCTCTCAAGTCATATTACAGGATAAAGGAAATACAGTTTAAACTGCCGTATGCAGAGAAGACGCCGACGTGTCGCACTTATCATTCATATTACATCATCAATCAGATCATCGATCATATAATATCATAATATATTATATATTTCCTTATCTGCCGTATCTGGCCGTGCAACACTTACAGTGTCACATACTGTATGCAGAAGTATTATTTTAAGCAACACATTATGTTGACGAAACACTCGAGTCAAATGTAATTAAAGTCAGATCCACTCGTGTCTTAGACGTGAACGCGCTCTCAGCTGGAGAGAGAAACCCTGGCTTGATTGACCGAGTTGATAACCAGCATCGTAGGACCGCTTAGCGAGATCTCGTTTGTTAGTTTGTTGTCGTTAGTTTGTTTGTTACTCAAACATATCCAGGGTCTGTTGAACTGGCTTCGTAGTACAGGGCACAGGTGGCTAGCAGCGCTAATGTCAAAGACACAGACATTGCATTATATTTGTATTTTACGAGGATGCAGTGACACAAATATTTACATATTTACATTTACTATCTACAGCCCCCGCCGCCCCTGACATCCCCCGTTGACAATTTACTAGCGGTACCGAAGTGGGCCGGTCGAGAGTCCCGGGATGATTTTTAGTCCCATTCCACCACTGGCTACATGACCGTATGATCGCCCATATTGATGCACCTAATTCCTAAACTTCTAACAGATACAACATAAACCGATCCTTCAGCCTCATATGCGCTCTCAGACACGTTCAAAATTAAACTGTCATCGCTGTCTGAGCTTGCTGCTATGTGCTCCATTGTGCGTTTACATGCAGATGCTGGGATCCTGAACGGTGCAGCTGGAGCGCTGTGCCCGCAATGACGTCACACATCATTTGGCGGGACTTGAAGAATCCCCGAGAAGATCCAGAAAATGGTCAACATTGAAGGGCAGATTAATGGTTATCAAAGTACAAATATCCAAAATCAGTTCAGTAACGGTTTTCAAGGGGACAATATTTACTCAAATTGATGGGTTTGGATGATGGGGGAAACTCGTGTCACAGGCTCTTTAAGGGTCCATGTGACAGCTACCGTTGCTTGGAAACAGGTTGTGAATTGCAATATGGGGAAAAACATTTAATGAATTTACTGTATATCAGATCACAAGCAAGATATGAAATAGCTAGCTAATGCACCCTGTGGTCCATCGCCTTACTTTCAACCACTAGGAGACTACCTCGCCTGAAGGAGAGCGTTTAGCAGTTTAGGAGATGGACCTGCAGTTAGCGGCTATTGCAACACGAATTACGTCAGCGCAAAGCCCAGCATCTGGGTGTCAAAGCGAGCCAGTGGAGAAGCACATTTTATGTTGCTAGTAGTTTGAGTATCTTCAGCTGCCTACTGAAACTCCTTCTGCTTCTCTGTAGTCGCCTAGCAGCAAGGAATAAAGATGAGTCATGAGTTTTAAAGTTTTTTTCCCCCTTCATGCCCCCCTCCGGTATTTTACCTGAAATGTACAAAATATCAACGAGAAATTGGCACATATATATATATATATATATATATATATATATATATATAAAAGACATACTTTAAGGGCACTAGACACATTAAAAGCTTACAAACCATAATACCCATACATATTTGCTGACTTTAAGTGCAACAGGTATGATTCTGCATCTAGGAATCAGGTATTCAATGAACACTTTGAGATTCAGAAAGAACTCAATTGGAAAAATAAGTGAAATATGAGGCCCAAACCAAAATGTCTTCATACAACAAATTATTTTTGATTAACCTTTATTTGAAATATTCTACACGAATTAAACAGTTAATTGTCTGATTACTTTTTTAGGTTTTCAGCTTGACTTATTGACAGATAGCAAAGGCTAGTATGTATCCAATGGAGCAGAGTTGAAAATGTAAGTCAAAAAAAAAAATGTGATCTACAAAAACATTTAGAACAATTGTGAAAGTGATAAATTGTTCCACCCATTTGCTGTTTGAATACTTGGACATCACTGTGAGCTGTTGGAAACTGTTGTAGGCATTCTTTTATGTATCAACACAATTTAAGCTAAACAAATGATACTCAAATTCAGATGAATAGTATTGAGGATACAAATATTAGAAGTTGCAGCCCTACACTGCAAATATAAACTGCTGAAAAAAGTTTACTTTGTGAACTCACCTTGACCACGTTGGCTTTGTGCCGCTCCAGCACCTGTATGGTCTGAGACGTCTTTGGATCGATGATAAGAATACTGGAGTGACATCCCTGAGCTATCAGCCCCTGCCAACCCCTACAGAAAATGAGAGCCGGAGAGAATGATAGGAAGAGGAGTCAAAGATAAATTATGAGGTAAGTGAAAAGGAGCTGACATTTGTTCCCAACACAGACTAAACACAGAGGGTCTGTGAGTGCGCGGGCATTGAGCCAAGACCACAAGACCCCAAGAAGAACATTTCAACTTTCATTTTATTTTACGAGTGTTGGGAAAATACTGAATGTACTCTTTCAAGGACAGAGTTACATATGATAACAATGGCCCAAGTGTATAACAGTGTATATGACAAGATGTATGATTACCTAGTAAAAGAAGCATGCCACCCTGTTTTAAAGCGTATGATAAGCTATGTGGCAACGATTAACATGATGATTCAGTCTCTAGGGGATATGACAAAGATGATCATTTCTGACGTGGGCCTCAGCTAATCTGAACAAAGCATTGTATACAGCTTTGAACCGTTGTTTCTCCATCGTGTGACTGTAAAACACCCACACTTCCATTCTTGCAAGGGTAATAAATAAGTATCCTGTTTTGAAACTCAAGCCGGTGACTAGTGACATTTTTCTAACAATGAGCAAAAAATCTATGACCATCAATCCACTCCATGTCTAGATATTTTACATCTTTCAGTATGCATGCGTGATGGGACTACAGAAAGGTCACAAATCAATTCCACATACAAAATGTAAACTCCAATATTAAATATGTTATTTTGTCTGGACTTTCAAAGTACAACAGACTGATACAACTCAGAGCAAAGGAAGTGTGCACATTAGCTGCAAGTGAAGACAATTTACAACTTAAACCATTAATAATTTTCCATATCATTGCCATGTTTTCTACATGTATGAGGAAATGATATCCACTGAAAGCGTTTTATTAAAGATGAATGGTAAGTCTCACTTGTTATCGCATAGATTAATACATTAATCATTGCCAGCTTCATGTATGGGGAATACAACTTGGTGACAATTGGATTCCTACACCTTTTAAAAACACTTTTTAAGAATTTTCTTGGTGCATTTTCAATCTTTTTCCATGACTTTGCACAATTTTTATTTGAATTTTTGGATTTTATGATATATGTTGCATCGTTGGAGGAGCTCGGGTCATAAGATGTCCATTGCCATTTCTACACTGTAGCATATGTGCATATGACATTAAAACCTTTGAATCTCCAACAATCCAAATGTTTTCGATATTTGACACTGACATAGAGATCTTCATTGTATTATATATTTAGCATTGATGTCATAGAGGTGTTGTTAATAGTATGCCACCTAATATAAATACATAGGGAGGATAAAGCATAAGAAACACATGACATTTCAGTAAAGAGCAGTCCAGTACAACACATCTGCAACCTCATTAAATAACATATAATAAGGTTTAATATGTATCGTGTTTTTATCACAGGCCCGGAAATGCAATAACGCATAGGAAGTCGCAGTGAAGTCGCAGTGAAGTCGTGCTCCCTGCTGGAATACTATGGGAAGGTAAGGGTTACAAAATGCATCAGGCCCAGCAAACTGTCACATCACATGACACAGGATGCCCTAAGTGTTGATATGTTCTATGTTGGGAAAAATCGGCATAATAATTCTTGCAGGTAGTAATAAAAGGGAACAATGTAACGTGATGCATATATAATATAATTAGCATGTATCAAAACATTAAATGACATACGCACGCATTGACTAAATGAAGAAGCTACATAAAGATGCTAACGGCAGATGTGCAGTACTCACCAGTCTACAGCGGTTTTATTCTGCAAATGGAGAGTGCCAGTCAGAGTCCGAGCCGCGAGTTTGATGTTGACAGTGTACGGAATCATTGTTGCTACGCAGTATTTTTGCTACATTAATATTTGTTGACCAAAAGCTGCTAAAGTTGTTTAGCTTCAGCGCTTCGGCTCTGTTGTTGAGATTTCTAACAGGAAGTAAAACGGTGTTTCTGAATAGAACGTCGTGTAGGAACAAATCCCAGCGACGAAAGGTTCCAAAGCTGAGGCTTCACCTTTGATCATGATCACACAATGTCAAATGTGTTTATAGAGAGCACACGTAAACAATGCTATGATGTGTTATATTCTTTCACTTTTTTATATATTTCCAATATTGCCACAACAATGTAATTGTGTCACTGTTAGCATTTAACCAATGTTTAGTTGTAGAAAATAATTCAATAATTTAGTTTAAATGTAATGTTAGTTAGGCTATTACATATCGATTACATATACAACCCAAAATGTCCTTGTTTTAAAAATATTGCAGTTTCTTGTCATAAACATCTTCATAAAACCCAATTTGTTTCTATACGCAGAAGTGACATTCACTTATATATTGATATTCATCCCATCATTTTAAAATGGTATAATAGCCTGGAAATGTTTTAAAACATCTAATGATAACCTTTTCCTCCATAAACTGTCATCATTAATTACGCGCCCCCTGCGTGAACGCCATCAGACTCCGATGATCTTGTGCCCTCTGAGTGCATCAGAGTCTGAAGAGTAAACAATCTACACACAGTGGAAGTTGATGACAATATATTGTTGTCTAATGGGCTTGGAAACACACCCCTGAGAGAACAGTGCAGCGGTTTAAACCACATAAACTACCCTGAATAACTTTTGGCAGATCAAACAAAAATCTTTCTGCCTTTTATGTATAGGCTCTTCCTCACTGCAGTGACACAAGATGTAGTGGTAGATGTAGTGGAGTGAATCATGGGGAAAAACATGACTTTATGACTCTGGGGAAGAACACCCTGTCCAAGATGATTTCAAAGATTCAATTATTTCATCTCCTTCACAGCCCTGCTGCAGTCAGTTTCCTTTGTGTTCTGTCATGCCTAACTACAGCACAAAAAGCAACATTTTACTCAAAACCCTAAAGAACACAATTAGCTTGAGTTCCTGGCAAGAATTAGCCTTTAAATATGACATTCTCTGGTGTGTTAAGACAAAACCTGTGGTGCAAAACTGGAAAAAAAATGCATAGAAACAGCTAAAAGGGAAGAAAAACATAATAAATCAGAACATGAAAATAAATGTTTTTCCCCATAAATTGGTATATAACAGCATTTGCTTTCTCCTGCACTGAGTGTGACTTAATTAAAAAAAGGTTCCACCATACTAACTTGCGAGGTTGCAAGTGCAGCACTGTTATTGGTGATATTCAGAATAGGAAATAATAAGATACATTTGGTAATTTCTTCAGGGAGAAAAAACATGTACACTTTGCATTGTCCTAGACACTGCATTTACACAATGTGTCCCAATGTTTTTAACAAAAAAAGCTTATACGTGAATGATTTATCAAACTTTTCAAATTGGCTCTTGTTCTATATTGTGAACTATTATAATCCAATTGACGGAAGGAAAGAATTCCAATATTGTGGCAGAGAGATGAAAATGATTGAAAACATGTTTCATGTCTGATTATTGGATTCATTTTAATTTGGTTAACTCAAGTTTGCATCCCACATCTGTCAAGATCATCTTGTGGTCATGGTGTTCTGCACAATGTACACACACAGAATCTCTGATATTCATCACAATTATTGCTGTCTTTAGAAACAGCGCTGTGCTGAAATTGAATTATGAGACTATTTCTCACTCTTCCCAGAGGCACACATCTTTAAACTTTAGTCAGATTTATGGCTGTGTTTCGTACATGGAGATAAGATGTGAAAATCATTTTGACAGGTATGACTCAAATACATTGTTTAATATGGATATAATGTGAGCAGCTTCAACAGCAGCATGATAAATGTCTATCTACAATTCTAATGCATTTTCTATTTTGGTTATACAAATAAGTAAGGGTTATTCCATCAAAGTTAGACATTTGGTACAAGATATTAATTACATTACATTACATTGCATTTAGCTGACGCTTTTATCCAAAGCGACTTACACTAAGTACATTCGACCAACAAAATACAAACTTGAAGAAAACAGAATCATATAAGTACATCAGGTTTCATAGAGCAAAAACATTTCAAGTGCTACTCAACTGGCTTAGATAAGCCAAGCCCTTTATTAGTATATAAGTGCTTTGTTAATAGTTCTATCGCTCGAAGTGGAGTCGAAATGAGATGAGTTTTCAGTCTGCGCCGGAAGGTGTGCAAGCTATCTGCTGTCCTGATGTCAATGGGGAGCTCATTCCACCATCTTGGAGCCAGGACCAGCAAACCCACGTGTTTTTGCTGATGGGAACTTGGGTCCCCCTCGCAGCCGAGGGCGCAGCGAGTCGTTTGGCTGATGCAGAAGCGTAGTGCACGCGCTGGGGTGTTACGGTTTAACCATTGTCCTGGATGTAGGAAGGGCCAGATCCATTCGCAGCATGGTAAGCAAGTACCAGTGTCTTGAAGTGGATTCTAGCAGTTACCGGAAGCCAGTGAAGGGAGCGGAGGAGCGGAGTGGTGTGGGAGAATTTAGGAAGGTTGAAGACCAGACGAGCCGCTGCATTCTGGATGAGCTGCAGAGGTCGGATGGCACATGCAGGTAGGACCAGCCAGGAGGGAGTTGCAGTAGTCTAGGCGTGAGATGACGAGAGCCTGGACCAGAACCTGCGTGGCTTTCTGTGTCAGCTGGGGACGCATCTCCCTGATTGTTGTAAAGCGTTGTTTGTATCTGCAGCAACGGGTTGTAGCAGCGATGTGTTTGCAGTGAAGGACAGGTGTTATCTAGGGTCACACCCAGATTCCTTGCAGTCTGAGAAGGGGAAACAACAGAGGTGCCGATGTTGATTGTTAAATTAGATTTATGTTCGAGAATAACAGTCTTCAAGAAGTTTGGAAACCTCAGAGAACAGTGTCAGCCATTTTTCATTTTAAATCAGTTTTACCCTAGTTGAACTGGTAAAGATAGTGTGAAGGTTCAACATAAAAAATACACAGCCGGAATAAATCTGCTACTTCCTAGCCCCTCCTCCAACACACACGAAAGCGCACATGACCAATAAGGTCACGAGATAAGTTTGTGCGGTTTGTGCACAGATGGAAGGCTGACAGGCAGGTAGGCCGGGCCGGCTAAATGATTGGTCGTACTTTTTACGTACTACGGCTTCCACAGATGACATTTTTTAATGGATTTTTTGTCAAGCACTTAAGATATTCATTGCTATGCGGATGTTAAGAGCATTCCATGGAATATAACAAAAAGTGTATCTCGAGCCGGTTTCTCAAACTTACCTACCCCACCTTTATGAGACATTTGGTGAATCCCCTAACCCAAACTTATTAAAATGTGCAGAATTGCCTTGACATGTACATGTATGCTGTCAAACAACACAACAAACCATCAGTTTAAAGTGTATATACAGTATGAAATGTACTTATTTTAATATGAATGTAGATCAAAGCATAATCAAATTACACTTACGATGATTCTGAGACTGATTTCCACTTGATAATCATAACTTACAGTAATTTCCCTCATACAAGAGGGACACATACTGCCGTGATAGTCTGGTGATGGAATTACATTAATTGTCAGTTACTCCCAAAACCATAGAAAATAAAAAAATACAACTTATATGTTTAAGCTCTAGTTAGTTTTTTAGGCACAACTTGTCTTGGCCAGGGTTGAGAAAAAGTGGTGGTTAAAGAATATCTAGATATTTTGGAAAATGTGCTCTCTATCCTAAAGGTAAATGAAAAAACTGAAACAGCTATAGTGCATGACGCCATGGCAAGCAGCCGATTAGCTTAGCTTTGCATTACAACGGAAGGAAACAGTGAGTATGGCCCTATGCTACAGTGAAAAATATAAAAAGGGACAAAGGCACTGCCAACAGACCTCTAAACCTGAGAAAAAATACATATTTACTAACTAAGCCTGCACGATTTCTCCACCAGCCTCTCCTTTACCTTTGCTCCCTCTCTCCTTTTCTTGTGATTGAAAAGAAAGCAGTTAGTCCGGTTACCCTCAGGTCAGTCATTATTACCTTTGACACAGTGAAAGGTAATAAATCAGTCCTTTTTCTCTTTCCCTCTTGTTTTTCTTCCTAAAGCCTTTAAGTGTCTGTGGCTGTGCGGCCAAGGGACCGGGCGGTGATGTGTAATGAAGGTTCTCTAATGAAAATGGAGAGCAAGGATAATCACCTTTGGGTCAGGTATAAAACCCAATTAGAGTCTGAGTGCCCTGAGTGCACTCCACTGCTGGCCATCAGCCGTGTGAAACATTATTTTCGCTACTCATCTGTATATCTTTGTATATATATATATATATATATATATATATAGTATTGATCTGTTTGTGAGCATACTGAATTATATTTATTTACCTGTGATGAATGTAAAATATCAAGCATTATTCTGGCCAGTTTGACCAAACTCTTAAATTCCAGTTAAGAATCATTTTTCATGGGAGAATAAATTACTAAAACATATTGTTGTCATGCAATTACATACTTATAGCTGCTACAGGCTTGTTAGATATCATAAGCAAACTTTAAATAGATATTGCTCGTATAACTGAGTCAGTTTGAGTTGATGTTTTTCAATTACATTTTTTTTATTTGTTTGAATAATTTAAAAATGTAAAGTTGTACTTTGAAGTTATTAGGTTGTAGCACTAATTGTATTGTTGCTGTTTATAGGAAAACATATAGGGATCCATTAAGGGCTGATACATTTCCACTATCTATGGTGCTCTCTTACAATTTAAAAATACATGAATCCATAAGCGTTACTTCTATCATGTTACTTATACATTTTGCTGAATCTTTCTGGATACGTTTCTTGACCTTTACTGACAAAATATTACAACATTTCCTAACACAATTAGAATGCGGAGACAGAGGCTGGTAATGTGGCTCCCCTTATCATCATATGTTCTCTAAACACACACAGAACACAGTCAACACACAACAGGACACAAAAAAGCTCTTGATCTTCCCAACAACAGAACTCCCTGTGCAAACACCATGAGCATTGGGAAGATGAAACAGAAGCA